TACCTTTTCCTGACAATATGCCAGCTACCAAAGCTTTCTCACAAGCCAAAGCTTTATCCTCCTTCCAATCCCTTTTGGCCCAAAAGTAGCTGAAGTGGAAGCCTGGCCACCAGTTTCTCCTGGGGTTCCATTCTTCTTGAACCCAGTCACCATGATTCCTGGAAAAGAAAAGTGTCAAAAGAGAAGGTCAGTGATGGACACGGGCCTCCACTGTCAGAGTCTGTGGAAAGATGGCCACGGAGATGCTTTCACGCTGAGGATGGCTACGCTAGAGCACGTGCATGAAAGCCCATCTGTTTTAGTTCTCATTGATCTCCGCATCCAATTTTCCATTTAACAAAACAGCCAGTTTGGCAGTACAGTGGTTAACAGCACAGACCCTGAAGTCAAACTCCTGGATTCGGATCTCAGCTCCTGGGCACATTGCTTAGCCTCTCTGAGGCTGTCTCCTTGAGGATGTGACTGGGGCCCACCCATCTCATAGCATTGCGATCAGAGCTAAACCGGCCCAGCAGTACAGAAGTGTCTCATACAAAGCTCTTGGCATGCTATCTGGTGCATAGTAAATATTTCATAAATGTTAGCTACTTTTATTATTACTTAAAGTTACTTTAAAATGTTACTTTAAATAATATGCTATCCAAATTAAGATGCCATTATTATAAAAATACATGAGCACACAGGTTTGACAATTGATCCCAGACAATAATACTAAGTGTTCATCAATAATTTAATTGAGCAAATATACATTTAGGACTTATTTGCACTATGTGGCAGAACTTCCAGAGGTTCAAAAAACAAACAGTACATTTCTCTGCCTTCAAGAACCTTAGTAGGGGGTGATATAGTGCTTTAGATTTGCAAAGCGGTTTACACGTCAACGTAACACACCAAAACATTTTATAATCAGCACTGTTCCATCTCCAAGGTCAAGTCAGATCTGAAGCCTGAAACGGGGTCCCCCTGATAAGAACTTCCTAACCAACTAAAATGGATACAATAAATAAATGAAGGTTAATTTTGTAATATGCCTTCTTCTCATACACAAAGTAAAAAT